AACCCACTGTGCTCATCATTTTACCATGTACATATATCAAACCGTTACGCTGTACACCTTAAACTTACGCAGTGATGCCTTTCAATTATTTTTCAATAAAACTGGAAAAAAGCTAATTATCAAAAAGAAAAAAAAAACCCACAAAAAAAGCAGAGATAGTCCTTAGAGCTCATCTAATCAAACTTGCCGCAGTCTTCGATGAGGAAACGGGCCCTAAGGTGAGAGGCAGCTGGTCCACAGTCAGTTATACGGCCTGAGCCAGGACCTGACGTTGGTGTCTCCCAGGCCAGGGTTCTTCTGTGACTCTACTCTTCCACGAATCCAGGTGGCGCGGTCACCAAGTCAGTGCAGGTGCCACCTGGGAGTGTGGCAGAGAGGATGCCTGGGAGCCTGGGGTGGGGCGGAGGGGGGGGGAGCCAGACCGAGGTCCTAGGAGGAAACCAATCTTTTCAAAGCAGACCTGTCTTGGAACAGAGCTTGACTCCTTCTCTTGCACAGGAGGAACCACCCTACAACCTCAAGGCCTTCCACCTGCGCATCAACTTCCCCGAGAACTATCCGTTCAAGCCCCCTACAGTGACATTCACCACCAGGATCTACCACCCCAACGTGGGCCACAATGGAAGCGTTTGCCTGCCCATCATCAGCCGTGAGAACTGGAAGCCTCACACCAAGACCTGCCAAGGTGGGACTGGGCCTCGCTTAACAGGAGGGACTGATCCTGGGTGCGGGCTTATGGGACTGATTTTGAGTCAGAAAAGCCCAAAAGAGAGGAGATGAAAATTGTAGGTCTCAGCTGAGCCTGTCTTTGTTTTGTTTTGTTTTTAAGATTTATTTATTTATTTATCTGAGAGAGCGAGAATGAGAGAGAGAGAGTACATGAAAGGGGGGAGGGTCAGAGGGAGAAGCAGGCTCCCCGCTGAGCAGGGAGCCCCATGTGGGACTTGATCCCGGGACTCCAGGATCATGACCTGAGCCGAAGGCAGTCGCTTAACCAACGGAGCCACCCAGGCGCCCCTGAGCCTGTCTTTGGATAGAAGGGATGCATCCTGAGATGCTGGACTGGCTGACCTGGTCCTGCCCCTGCTCTTCTACCTGGACAGGTGCGACAGAGCAGCGTGGCTGTGGGTCATGGGAGAGGGAAGCCGCGGGCTGTGAAGGGAAGGGCTCTGCTGCTCTGCCTGCAGACCTTGGTGAGGTCTGTTCCTTCCCAGGCTCAGTGCCTGAAATGACAGTTGAGGAGACTGGCCCAGTGACAGCAGTATACCCCGATGAAGCACTCTGAGCACTGTGCTAGGAGCTTCACACGCCGACTGCATCTGATCCCAGCAGCCCCATGCGTGGTGCTGTCATTGCCTCTCGAGTCGATGAGGACCCCGGGGCACATGACAGCTAAAGCACTTGCCTACGGTCACATAGCAAGTGGCCGAGCGGGGCTTTCAAAGCCAGGCTTGGCTGACTCTAGAACAGTGCTACCCAGCAGAACGTTCTGTAGTGATAGAATGTTCCACAGCTGCACGGTCCAGTTCCTAATCAGTAGCCACAGGTGGCTACTGAGCACCTGAAATGTGGCTAATGTGATGGAGGAACTGAATTCCTCATTGCGTTAATTTTAATTCATTTCAATGTGGATATATACATGTGGCTAGTGGCTACCTTGTATATCGGGCAGTGCGTTTCTAGAGCCCGTGAGTGTGCTCTGTGTGCAGTCTGTCCTGCTTCTGGACCGGCTCAGGAGTTCTTTTTTTTTAAAATTAATTAATTATTTTTTAAGAGAGAGAGAGAGTGTGTGTGTTTGCACGAGTGGGGGTGAGCGAGGGGTGAGGGAGAGGGAGAGAATCTCAAGCAAACTCCCCACTGCACGAGGAGCCTGATGCAGGCCTCAATCTCATGACCCTGAGTTCATGACCTGAGAGCAGAAGCTGAGCTGAAATCAAGAGTCAGAGGCTTCACCGACCGAGCCACCCAGGCACCCCAACCAGCTCAGGAGTTCTTAGCCTTTGGAAGCAAGGATCCCCAGGGGGACAGGAGGAGTGGTCCAGGGGGACTGTGGAGCACTCTTAATGTCGACCCACATGTTTGTGTGTGTTCATACGTGCACGTGCCTCGAGCGATGGACCACTGCCTTCACGGGGTTCCCAGAGCCACGGGCAATAGTGGTTTCCAGTCTTTAGCCTCAGAACCCTTTTTCCCAAATAAAAGTTGATTTGGAGTCCTCATGTCAAGCAGAAAAACAGAGTGGTTCTTGTTGAAAAGGGAGTGGGACCCTGAAACCCCAGTTATCTCATCGACCCCCATGATGGGAAGCTTTTCTGAAGCATGGAACATAGTTTGAAAGCACTGGTGTAGCCAGTCACTTTGGGCATCATCAGTGAGGAACGAGGGGCATTTGACTTGGTCATAGAGTCATCCTCATCCTGAGAGATGGAACCTCCCTGGGAGTCCCCCGCGGAGTGAGTGTGGAATGCCGGGGCATCTGGGGGTGGGCTGCCATCGCCTCCTTCCCCGGGTTTTTCTCTCATCCTGCTGTCCTGATCTGGCCTCTCTCCCCAGTCTTGGAGGCCCTCAGCGTGCTGGTGAATAGACCGGACCCGGGGCAGCCGATTCGGTTGGAGCTCGCGGATCTGCTGACACACAATCCGGAGCTGTTCAACATAGAGGCCAGAGAGTTCACCCTCCAGTATGGAGCGGACCGACCCTCCTAACCATTCTCACCCATCCTCTACGTGATGGATGGACACGTGTCATGGACTGGGGGCTGGAGCCCCTCTCCTTTGTTCCATGTTTTCCTTCATAGATTGTTAGTCATTAGTCTGTGTGTGTGGTGTGTGGGCCCATTCCCAGGTTCACCTGGCCACAGGTGGGCTTTTCCCGCTCTCTTTCTCTGCCCCAGAGCCAGAGGAGTTCATGGCTGCACAGTTCTCCAGTGCCCTAGGGCCTGGAAATCCTGGTCTCACTAATTGCTCTGTCTTACAGTTACAGGTCACCTCCAGGCCGGCTGGCAGGAAATGAGCCCAGAAGGCAACCAGAATCCCCGCAGGGCCCAGGCATCAGGGGGCAGAGGGCACGTGGGGAGTATGCATGGGAGGCTAGGGCACTCAGAATCATATTTACAATTGAGCAATTTGTTTATTGAGTGACTGCAGTTGGCTAGACTGCTAATAGGTATTACATGTCTAGATTTAGGTGCTAAACCTTTCCTTTTCCACTGATAAATCACGAAATGAAGAATCTTCATCCTGAAAATCTGACTACATGGATTGTTTGTTTTTTTAATTTATTATTTATTTTAGAGAGATCGCGCACACGAGTAGGGAGAGGGGCAAAGAGAAAGGGAGAGAATCTCAAGCAGACACCCTGCTGAGCACAGAGCCTGACACACGGCTCCATCTCATGACCACGAGATCATGACCTGAGCTGAAACCAAGAGTCGGTCACTCAATCGAATGAGCCCCCCAGGTGCCCCTGACGACATGATTTTAAACTCTTTTTTTCCTTTTTCTAAAGATTTTATTTATTTATTTATTTATTTATTTATTTATTTGGAAGAATGCTTGCACAAACGGAGGGCAGGGACAGAGGGAGAGGGAGAGAAAGAGAATCTCAAGCAGATTGTACCCTGAGCGCGGAGCCTGATGCGGGGCTCGATCCCACAACCCTGAGATCATGACTTGGACCAAAACCAAGAGTCAGACGCTTAACCAACTAAGCTGCTCAGGTGTCCCCTGACTACATGGTTTTAAAGCCACTTGCTACCCCCTTAGGTTGCTGGTTTCTGGAAGCCAGCCTTCAGGCTGGGAGGAGTGTTCCCTCCATAGTTTCCAGTCCAGGGGGACCACAAAAACCATCCGCTTGTCCACCCATTAAAGTCACAGATGAATTTGGAGGCTGGCTGAGTGTTCGTTGAGAGGATGGGGTGGTTTCACTGGGAGAAGGTGAGGCTGAGGGTTAGCTGCTCTCTACTAAAAGGTGTGACCCTGCTCCCCAAAATGGACGGCTCGCTCGGCTCCAAGCCTCATGTAACCCCAAACGCTGTGGGGAAAACTGGCCATGAGGGACTAGGCTGTCAACCCATCCACAGGGGGAGCACCCCCATTTTACAGATGAGGCAACTGAGGCACAGAGTGCTTCGGTGGATGGCCGGGTCTGCCCTGCCAGTCAGGGCAGCATCCACACCTTCGGCCGCAGCACCAAGCTGGCTGGTTTTCTTTTCCGTGTTTCTCATGAGCTGTTCTTGTCAGCACACGTGCTCCGAGTGGCTGATAAAGGCAGACAGGCCTGTTAGCAGGAAATTATAAGCAGCTCAGGGGAGCATCTCCAACGAACAATGGAAAAGCAAAAGCAAGCCAGAACTTCAGCCCAAACAGAGGGATTAACTTAACCCGAAGGAAGGGCCTTCAGGGAGTGTCGGTCTAAGCTTCTGGAAGGCCGCTGCTTGTAAGAGACAGAGTGCAGGGTATCACCCCAGGCCCTGCTGACATAGCTTGAGGTTCCCAGAGAATCTTCTATCCCAGCACCTAATCTGGGACAAGTGTGGAAGGAGGGAAGAGAATCAGGAAAAGCACCACCAATGGCTCGAAATGTACGAATGCATTTACTTTTGGCCTCATTTAGGGAACACTTAAGTGACAGGCACCAGGCAAGGCTGTTTGCTCGTTTCATTATCTCATTCAACCCTCACAACACCTCCATCACGTTTGAACTCCTGTTATCCCTGTTCAGACGGGAAGCTGAGGCTCAGAGAGATTAACTCACTGGCCCAAGGTCACACAGCTGCGTAGCCGCGGGGGGGGTGGGGAGCGGGGCGGGGGGGGGGGGGGTTGTGGGAGGCTGGGTGGCGCCCAGGCCACTGTCCTTTCCCAAATGACCATCTTGGTTGTTGAGAAGATCGTGTCAGGGGAGGAACCCTGGGGGCCGGGGTTTATTATTCCAGAGGGAGTGAGGTTCCCGGGGGTGGGGGGGGGGGCGGTATGGAGAGTGCACTGAGGGGCTAGACAGGATTTTATAAAAGTACTTTTAATGCATTTAAGACTGGTGCCACCTGCCCTGGCTCAAGCCCCAGCTCTGCCCACCTCCACCCACAGGGCCGGTCCGCTCCTCATTTCTTCTTGGTCTTCACCAGCCCCTTCTGCACAAGGCTGCGGTACAGCTCCTGGATGTAGGTGTAGACGCACTTGGAGTCAGGCACCGCCAAGCGCACCATGTCGTCCACCTCCAGCAGCTGGGCGCAGTCGGCCAGTTTCCTGAGGGGCAGAGCCAAAGCTGAAGGATGCGGGGGCCAGGGGGAGGGGCGCAGCCCAGCCAGGGTGAAACCCAGAGAATTGTGTATGTTGGAGCTGAGAGGTCATCTAGGCCGACCAACCCATTGTACAGATGAGGTCACTGAGCCCCTGACAGTCCAAACTCAAACGCAGCTTGGTCTGATCCCAAAGCCCATGTATGTCCTCTGGGTCAGAGTGAGTTACACAGCTGGGGCTCAATCCCAGGCTTGCCTGTGGCATCCTTGCCCTGAAGCTGGGTCTCGGCAGTCCCAGCCCGTCAGACTGCCATGGTGCTGGCAGAGGGAGGATCCAGGCTCCCAGTGGAAACCCTCTCTTGGGGCAGAGACAGCTGGGCTGAAACCCAAGCCGGACTGGCCTGAGAGCCGGGGGAGGGGCACAGTCTGGAGGATTGCCAAGAACGGGACATGCTCCCTGTCACCAGTGTGGTGACTTCCGTTCCTGGGGGTGGGTCAGGGTGCTGTCCCCCTACACAGGAGAAGCTTCATTCCCACTGGGCCTGAGGGGCGGTGGGACTGGGCTCCTCTGGGAGCACAGCTGATGGGGGCGGGGCGAGCACTGGCTGTTCCCCCACGTCCCAGGATTCCATGGGAATCAGGTGAGTTCTAGAACAGGGGCAGTGGGAGGTGATGGCTGGGGCAGGAGCCTCCTTACTTCGCACACTTAATCTTCACACCAAACCCAAAGAGAAGGGAAGTCAGCTGCCAAGAGTCACAGAGCTAAGGCCGGGGTGGGGTGGGGTGTGTGTGTGGCAAGATTCGAATTCTGCAGGTCAGCTCCTCCATCCTGTGGCCCCACGCATCCCTACCAACAGCCTTCCCTTTTCACTGCTGCCTGATGTCTCCTGGCAGCCCAGTCCTCGTCACCTGATTATTCAACTCCCCCCCCCCCCCCAGGCCCCCGGCTCTGCCTGGCTTGGAACTGAGGCAAGGCAGGTGCAGGAGGACAATGATCTGTGTCCTGCGGGCCAGGCACACTTGGTTCCTGGCGTTCACTCACAGCTCTCAGTCTCGACTGGGAGCTTCACATCTATGTCACGGCTCTGCCAGGACCTCCTGTATGAACCTAGGACGTCGAGGGACCTCACTACTCATCCGCCCTCTAAGATGGCTAAGAGCATAGAATGAGATGATCTAAGGAAAGCTCTTAGCAGGACGCCCGGCACCTAATCACCCTCAATTCATGGGGCTTGTCATCATCATTAAAGGTGCTTCTGAACCCAGAGCAGGACCTGGTACTCCTGACCCCCTCAGCTTCCCACCCCAGGGCGCTCACTCCATCCCTCGGCAGGAAAACGTGAAACTGGAAGGGGTCTTCTGGAATATCAAGTCTGGTGGTTCTCAAATTGCATCCTTGGTGCCCTAGGGCCCCGTACACGTGCCTCAGGGAGCATCTTGGGAAGGGTGTTGGGTGGGGAGCTGGTGTGTTCCAGGAACCCCTCCCAGCCTAGAAGGGTCCCCTTGTGAGTGATGACACTGATAGACCATGAACTCAAAGCTGGGGAGTGGAGACATAAGGAAGCTGACCAAAAGTGGAAAATGGTGAGGTTACTGGATTAGAAGTCCCCACGGGGTTAAAAATCTCTTGGAGTGGGGCTGCTAACCTAAGTGAGTTAGAGAGGTGAGGGGTGGGGACAGGGAGAGAGTGCTCAATGTCTGAAACCAAGATTTTGAAGGTGGTACAATTACTGGCAAAAACTCTAGGTCATAACCATGAGCAGGTGGCTGAGAAGAGTGATACGCTCAAATAACCTAGAGGCCAGTGGGTTGTAATGATTCCTCTTAGCGGGTCACTTTATCCAACGTCATCCAGGCTACGGGCAATTATCATTTGGGTTAGGACACGCTTTGGGCCTTCTGTACCAGTTTCACTACATACAAGTTACAGCCACGAAGGTCAACCTCTAGGAATGAGCTAGTGTTTTGAAGCAATATGTACATTTCATAAGAAAAGTGTTATTTAGTTCAATGAAAGTTTAAAAAAAATAAAAAATAAAAAGGTCCCCCTGTAATCTGGTTTATATGTCGGGCATTCACTTAATATTTTGTTTGAGGGATCTGCTGAAAAAAGAAAAACCCATTTGCAAAGCACAGCTCCACATCCATTTTCCCCTTTTGCCCCCGGGGGACACGCAGGGCAAGAGAGGGGTATGGTGCTGCCCCAGGCTTCCCTGTGGGTTGGTGGCCAGGCCTGGGCTAGACCAGAGGGCTCAGCGTTCCAGCCCCAAGTGTTGCTGACATCCCCAGGGACTCCCTCCCTGTCCCGAGGCTTTGGAGGTGCCCTCATCTGTCCATTCTGGGGCCTCAGAGTTGACCTCACTGGCAACATCCTCTGCATAATCCATTTCTATCGGATGGCTCAGAAGCCTCTCCCTGGGGCTGGAAAGAAGAGGTGCTCCTGGCTTGTGCTCCTTGGGAGCCCTAAGGCCATCAGGGTGCATTCGGGCTTCCCAGGTAGGTAGAGACAGAGGCCTCCGGCGGGGGCCGGCTCTGGTACTTTGGTGATGGGAGCACCTCCCCTCACACCACCACTTAGCAGCACGTTTTTTGCCTCTCAGGTTCTTCTTGGGCCACACTGTTCCTCACACTCCTCCTGCTTTTCCAGTACCCCTTTCTCCATCCCACCACCACCACCCCTGGCATCCAGCCGTGTGAGCCTCAGCAAGAAATCCCCCTCCAGATTCCAAAGTGATGAGTAATTATTGTAAAAACTGTGCTATCATCCATCATCGTATAGGAACAACAGCTCAGATTCTTTTTTGGAGGGTTTGCTCTGGGTTAGGCACTGCTAGAGACTTCACCTAATTATTTACTTAATTCTCGCAGTAGCCCTGCAGAAGAGGAAACGTGCCCATTTTAGAAATCAGGACGTGAAGGCTCGAGATCACACCGCTAGGAAATGGCAGAGTCAGACTGTGGCCCCGAATCTCGGGGCCCACCGTGTCTAAAACGGCAGGCCTGGGGCTCTTCTACGGCTTGCCCTGCCTGCGTTCTCTTTAGGGCACGGCCCCCTGCGCCCCGTTACATTTCACACGGAGGGCTGAGCTTATGATCCGTCTCGCCCTTTAGACTCTAAGCCACGGCAAGCGGGCGTTCTGCCCGGTTCACCCACGGCTGTGTCCTGACACAGCTCCTGGCGATCGAAAAGCGTCTGTCGGATGCGTGGCCGTGCGGCCGAACCACCAGCGCGCTCCCTGCCCCGTGTGAATCCAGCGCGCGTGCGCAGCCCCGCCCCCGCCCCGCCCCCGCCCCGGGACTGCGGTCCGCCCCTGCGGCTTACTCAGCTGTGGAGAAGGCCAGGGTGAAGTTGTGCCGGCGCTGCGTGGGCTGCAGCTCAGCGTAGTCAAAGGCGTCCGGGAAGAACTTGTGGATGAGCGCGCAGAAGGCCATGCCGCTGCTCCAGCTTGAGGAGAAGTTCTGGATGTCCACGTGCTGCCAGTGAGCGGGGGCCCAGAGCAGGCCTCGGTGAGCCCCTCGGGCTCTGCGCCACCTGCCGCCCGGGGGAAGGGTCCCCTGCCCCACACGGCCCCTGCTCCCCGCCCACCTCGTAGTTTCTGGTCATGGCCCGGCACCACTCCAGGAGCATGTTCTTGACGCCGCCGATGGCTGCCCCGGCTGCCTTCGTGTTTCGGAACAGGGCCGTGGGGCCCGACGCTGCCCTGCAAGGGGAGGCATGGAGAAGGCCCAGCCAGAGAGGCGAGAGGCCACAGGACGCCCCATCGGGGAGGAGCCCCGGCCCCAGACAGCAGTCCTCCCACCTGGGCCCGGGCAGTCCCCACGCCCTCAGGCCTCCCCACGAAGCGACCGTTCCGCGGAAAGCCCAGCCCAGCCTGCACTGTACCCGCCAAACTTGTCCACGATGGCTTTGCGGTTCTGTGCCCGGGGCCCCCGCGGCCCCCGCGGCCGGGCAGGGGCTGTCACCCTGTGCTCTGGTGCCTTCTCTTTCTTCTTCTGGGAGGGAGGGGGCTCTGTGGGACTCTGGGGCATCTCGCTGGGTGAAGACTCACTATGGAGAAGGTTCAGAGCAGTGTGAGAAGGGCTGGGACCAGCCCCTCCAGGGCACAAGGAGGGGGCAGGAGGCAGGGGGCCGGCTGGGGGGAGCTCCCTGCAGTCAAAAGAGGCATATGAAGTTGTGGCCCCCACTCCCGGCACACCTCTCCTCTGTGCCCAGCACTGGGAGGGGATCAAGGCGGAATAACGAGGCTCAGTCTAACTTTGGGGAGTGTGTGGTCTGGTGAGATGTGTGGGGAGAGCTAAGACAAGTCTGAGGTCTGACCTGAGTTTGAATCCTGGCTTTGCCTCTTATTTGCTGTGTGATCTTGGGACTGTCGTGTCATTTCTCTGAGCCTCAGCCTCTTCATCTGGAAACTGGGGACAAGAAGAGCTACCTGACACGGTGGCTCTAAGGGCTCGAGAAAGAAGGGGAGTGGAGAGCACCCAACTGAGCCTGTCCCATAACGGCCCGAGTGAACATGTACCCACTACCTTTCCCTAAGAAAGTGGCACGGAGGTGAATCTCACTCAGGTCAAGACAAAGGATGATTCCTCCAATGAGTCAAGTTATACACTGGCAAGAAGAAAGCTCTCGCTTTATCCAGCACCCGCCGGGTACCAGGCACTGGGCTCAGGGCTCTATACTGTTTTTTATTTTTTATTTTTTTAAAGATTTTATTTATTTATTTGACAGAGACAGAGATAGTGAGAGCAGGAACACAAGCAGGGGGAGTGGGAGAGGGAGAAGCAGGCCTCCCCCCGAGGAGGGAGCCCGATGTGGGACTCGATCCCAGGACCCTGGGATCATGACCTGAGCCGAAGGCGGATGCTTAACGACTGAGCCACCCAGGCGCCCCTATACTGTTTTTTATAAAAGTAATCTCTATGCCCAGCGTGGGGCTCAAACTCACGACCCTGAGATCAAGAGTTGCGTGCTCTACCTACTGAGCCAGCCAGGCGCCCCACATGCTTTATACATTTTATGCCATGTTAGCCTCACGCTATGAGGTAGGTATTGATTACGGGGCCCACTTCATAGAAGAGAACAGTGACACAGACAAGGCCACACAGTTGGTAAGTGGCAGAGTCATTGTCTGAACTCGGGCTTTCTGCTCACACTCCGTGGGCAGGGTTGATGCCACGGAAACGTGCTGAGGGACAAGATGAGGAGCCCCGTGAAGATCTGCCAAGGACGCTGAGGAGGAGGCTTTAGTGGTGGAGTGGGAGTGGTCCCTTTGCTCCCAGCCTCTGGCTCCTTTGGTTTCCTGGGCTCTGCCCTGGGGTAGGGGGCTGAAAGCCAGGAATCCTGGAATATCTCTAGATCAGGCGCCAGGGAGACCCAGGCCCAGGCGATGGTAGACTTGGAAGGGAGAGTGTAGTAGAGGGAGTTGGAACGGGGGCCCCCGAATCTGACATTACCTGGCTGAAGGACTGGTCTCTCCGGAAGCTGCTGTGTCTGGACCCAACCCATCTGGAGGGAGGGAATGGAGAGAGGGAGGGAAGCTGGAGCTACCTTGACGTGCTGTCTGCACACCTCCTCAGGGTAGCTCCCGCAGCACCCCATGGGCCCCTGGACTCACTCACCTGGGCGGAGGCCACTGCCCTCCTCTGTGGGGCTCTCGAGCCATTCCTCAGGGGAGCTGGGAATCACTCCTGCTCCTTCCTCCGACTCTCTCTCCACACCCTGGTCTTGCTCTCCCTTGGGACTACCTGGCTCCTGGAACGAACATGATCTGTGTGGGCTCATGGTCCCACAAGCACCTGCCTGAGTCTTTGTGAGGACTTCAGGAAGAGCCGGAAGGCAACCTGGGGCCACGGGGCTATCCCCCCACCCCAGGCTCTTGATGTCATTGGGAAGACTGGACTTCCCCAAAGGAATAAAGCCAGGGGTGGGGGGCTTACTTCCTGGGGTGCAGGGGACTCCAGAACACTGTGGGGGTCTTCTCCCTCCTCTCCTTTGCCTCACTCACCGCCTCCTCCTTCACGTCAGCCTCCCGAGGTTCAGAGTCCGCCTCCCCTTCCACAGCAGGCTTCGTCTGAGGGTCTGACCTGACCTCTGGGGCACTGGCTTTCTTCTGGGCTTCAGCCACGGGCTCCTCTGTCTTGCTGCTCTTCTCCTGAGAGGCCACCGTGGCCTCCTCTTTCCCATCAGCCTCCCTGGCTCCAGTCTTGGCCTCTTGCTCTCCAGCAGCCTGCTTGGGCTCAGCCTCGGCCTCATCATTCACACAGGCCTCCTCCCTAGATTGGGGCTTGGCCTCCTTCTCGTCAGCTTGCTGCTTCTCAGAGGCCAGCGTGGTCCCTTCTGCTTCCTCAGCCGCCTTGGGGTCAGGTTGGGTCTCTTCCTTCCCATCAGTCATCTCTTGAGGAGCCTCTGTGACCTCTTCCTTCCTGCCGTCCTCCTTGTGAAGTTCAGCCTCCGCTTTGGATTCCACCTTGGCGTCATCCAACCCATTGGCTTCCCCCTGAAGTTCAGCTGACGTGCTGTCCTCGGCTGGGGCTCTTTCCTGCTTTCCCGCTGCATCCGGAGGCCCCTCTTTGACGCTCGTCTCGGTTGTACCTTTGGCCTCTTCGGCAGAGGCTCCACCTCCCTGCGTCACTGGGGCCTCTGGGGTTGGGGAGATAGTGGTTCCATCCTCAGAGGGCTTTTCTTCCTTCTGCTCCATCTCTGGAAAGTGGAGACAAGCAGACCTGGTCATGTCATGCCCCATTCCTGCGTGAGGTGAAGACCCCGCCCTCAGCGAGCACTGGCCTGGGAGTCTGGAGGCCTGCTGCTCAGTCCTGGGTCCCCCACGGCCCCACTGCTTGGACATGTGACAGGAGCATCCGCGTTCCCTGCGGTAAAATGAAGGGGTCCAGTGCTGCTTCCCCAAAGGTGAGGTGTTGGGCCACATTGACTTGGCCTGGGATGGTGTTCACCTAACAGCCCTCTGCAGGCAGTGGCTCGGGCTTTAAAGAACATTAGGTCATGTAATGCCTCTTCAAGGATTTTGTCTCTTTCCGATTAAGCCAGTGAGATGGTTAGAACGGGATCCTGGCCTTGGGGAACACCTGTGGAGCAGTTGCTCTTCTCCCCTGTTCAGGGAGGTGGTAGCTAGCCTCGGGACAGGCAGGAGTATCCAGATCGAACCTAACAGTACCGCTTTGTTTCCACTGTATTTCTTTTTACGGTTACTTTCTATTTCTGGCCAGTGATCTTGAGTTTCCATTTCCAATAATGATATAAACTTTCTTTTAATTTGTTGAATTTAAAAATAAGTTAATTCAAAGGAAGGCATTCAGGAAAGCAGGACTCAGGTGGCACAGATGTGCCTAAATCCCCAGGGGTGGCGTAAAAATGCCTGAAATTCGGGAAACCCTGGGCCAGCTGGTCTCTGGGGCTCTTCCAGCTTCACCAGCCGCCACCGCTCTCTCATAGCTCTTCCAGTGGTTCTCAGACAAGGTGGGCCTAGACGTGGGAGAGTTTATCTTGGTGAAGAATAGAAACGTACTCTCCCTAACCTCTGCCAGAGAAATCTGACCCTCCAACTGCCAGGGATGGGGCGGGGGGAGGGAGGTCATGATACCTTGACATGAGCTTTCCTATTCGAGTACTGTATATACAGTAGGATCTACAAAGACAGGTGGGCGGGGGGCCCGGTTGGGGGGAACAGCAGGAATAGCTCCTTCATCCCCCTGCCCTTCTTGGGTGTCTGTTTAAAAAGAAAACAATCCTCCATTAGTGTTCAGGGCATGACTCAGGCAGTAAGAGGAGGTACTCCTGTCACCAGCTAAAAATACCTCCTGCCCTCTGCCGTGCCATCATTCTGGGCGACAGTCCCCAGGGCACCTGGGCAGTTGGGACAGAGGCAGGAAGACAGGCAGACTGGTGACAGGGCTCCGTTCCTGCCATCCACTCGGGTCTTGCTGTCCCCAGTCCAGAGTCCCTGGGGTCCCTGGGTTTCGGTTTCCAGGGAAGCAGGCTGGGATTTGCAAAGATGCACATACTGTCCTCCAACTCCACCCCTCCCGCCAGAGCCCCTTCATGGTTCAGCAGCTCCAGCAATGTATTAGCTGGGAGCTAACCAGCCGGGGATGGAATGCACATCAGCGGGGAGCCAGATCGACCCCCATCTCTTAGTCGCTCACTCTGAGACCTGAGTGGTCCCTTTGCTGCTCGAATCCTCAGTTTCTACTGACAATGACAGGATTGGTCTAGATCAGATTTTCCAAACTGTCCTGTGGAAAACTAGCGTCTCCTAAGACCATAATAGGAGCTGGGGTTGGGGAAATGTATTCTCTGGCTGAGGCTGTTCGAGAAACGGCCTCCTCTTTACCGTTTTAGAGATACATAACTTCATTAGCACAGAAGGGGATTTTAGAGACTCCATAGTAAAGAAATCTTAACTTTGCTTAGCTTTATTTAACTCACTGCTCCCCAAACTTATTCGACCATGGATTTATTTTTTCTTGCTTTCTTTTCTTTTTGCTTTGCTTTTCCTGAGACGCACCTACCGCCATCTTGAGCAATGCCCTGTTTCCCAGAAGCAAGTACGACAGATGCTGGCCTAAATGATCCACACAACCCCAAACTCCGTGGAGCAGTGGTGAAAATCATCAGTTCTGGAGTCTTCCCACTGTTTGCTAATTGTGTGATCTTGAGCAAGCTACCTGCCCTCCCTGTGTTGTGATGTGTAGAGGTAAAAACCACCCTGTAGGGTGCTAGAAGGTTAAGGAAGCCAATGCATAGAAAGTCGTTTGAGGTGTGCCTGGCATGAAGGGGGCACTCGGGACTTTACTGTAGCATGCTCTGCGGCTGAGCCAGCCAGGGGCCCTGAAGGGGGCCCTCAGTACAGAGCAGCTTCTGTGGTTGTAGGTTGGCCTCTGCCCGTTAATGTTGGCCCTGACCCAACCATGAGGGCAAAGACAAGGCAAAGAGGACTGAATGGCAGTAAGATGACAACAAGCCCCTTTGATACCTCAAGGTGCGGTGGTGCTTGGCTAAGACTTAGCAGAGCACCGTCGCCATCCTTCCCTTCGGCTACATGCTGCACACTGTTGGGGGGTGGGGGTGGGAGGGAAGGAAGGGCAGGTGCATGCACGCGCACACACACACACACACACACACACCCCTCTGCCATCCTGCGTGTTCATCACCTCAGCTTTCCACACACCCCCAAGCTTGTCATAAATAGATAAGGAGTGAAGAACCCCAGAATGTGAGCAGCCGGGGTGGCATCACCCACCCCAACACTGACGATTCTCTAGCAGGTTTCCTGCTTACCCCGCGGTGCCCTGCAGGACCTCACTCATTCCTCGCTCTGGCCCTTTGCAATCAGTGTTACCGGGCCCCATTTTACAGATTAGGAATTTGAAGTCCCTTAGGTAAGGTCACAGGACAATGAAAGGGCCCAACCAAACCTAGACTCCGGGTCTCCTGACAACCGGTCAGGCGCTTGTATCAAAGATGCTGCTCCCACTAGCTCCTCAGCCAGTGTCCCTTCCGAGGCTCTAGCCCTTTCCTCCCCACCTCCCTCCCTCTCCACCTCCCCTCCCCCTTCCTCCCCAGCAAGCCTATGGGCACCCTGTTTTGTATCCAGAGCAGCACTGCGGACTGCACTCCTTCCCTCTCCTTGTTTCTCTTGGCTGGCTGGGAGAAAAAGAACCCAGGAGCTCGAGTTCCAAGCCCCAGAGAGTGTAGACGACACTTGATCCTTCTGTTAAAACCTCCCCGGGCCCCTGACACACAGTCTGTCTTCTGGTGGTCCTGAGGCTGCCGCCGTCCCCCATCCCAGCCAGTGACCCCGCCTTGAAGAAGCCACTCTCAACTGCTTAGAGAGTCTGCCTCCCACCCCGACCAGACCTCCTGGGGGATGGCCACCTGCAGGCTACTCTGTAGGTGATCTCGAGTTGCCCAACACCCTAGGGCTGGGTCCCTGACCTCTGGCATCCAAAGAGAGTTGACAGAGAGGTGGAGAGAATTAGCAAAGAGCCTGGATTTCTCCAACTCTGGGGCTCTGCATGGAGGCTCTGGCCTTTGGAAGGTGGGAGAGGGGTTGGCAGCTGGAGGGCAGCACTTAGAAAGGGGCCCGGGGCTTCTCCTACCTGTAGGGCCTCTGCCTGGGGGCTTGGAGTTGTCTCCTTCCTCCAGCTGAGCGGCCTCACTCCCGGCTGCCTTTACCCCAGCCAGTGGCCTCTAGCCCCCAGCTCTTCTGTCTGCCCGCCTCCCCCTTCCCCCCCCTTCCACCCCCCCACCCCCACTTCAAGAGCCTTCAGCCGAAGAAGAGCATTGTTTACCGCCCTGTTGGTACAACATTTTCCCTTGGCCTAGGAGGCTCAGATTTCCCGTGAAGATCTGACAGGTGGCACCTTTCAATCACAGCCTGTCTTTCCTGCCCTGACCCCGGCGGTATCCATCCTGTGGCCACCTTTCTTCCCAATGTACTCGCCTGGCCCTGGTGACTCCGAAAACCATTTGCAGGCCCATGTGGAAGATGGTCACCAGCCCTCTGGCCTCGCCTGCCCATCCAGAGCCCAGACTAGGCCTCCTCTGTTCCCTTTGCCCCCCCCCACCCCATATTCCTTTAAATAGTCTTTACTCTTCCTTAGACAGAAACAGCTGCTGAAGGGTGGGCTGCAGAGGGGGTGAATGGGACAGCTGCCCACAGGGGTATGTCTTGGGGCTCACACAGCACAGGGAGATGTGGAGGGGGAGGGGCGAACAGGTGAGGAGACACAGCCCAAGCCGATGCAGCACTGGGCTTAGGGTCTAGAAAATACAAGACCGAATTCTGTTTTAAGCTGAAGTGACTGGTACGTAGGAGTCTCTGAGCTTTTATACCGAATTAAGATGTATTTTTAAGATTTGATTTGATTTGATTTTTAAATATTTTATTTATTTATTTGAGAGAGAGAGAATGAGAGAGAGAGAGAGAGAACACATGAGAGGGGAGAGGGTCAGAGGGAGAAGCAAACTCCCCACCGAGCAGGGAGCCCCATGTGGGACTCGATCCTGGGACTCCAGGATCATGAGCTGAAGGCAGTCACTTAACCAACTGAGCCACCCAGGCGCCCCTTTAAGATTTTATTTTTAAGTAATATTTATGCCCAGCATGGGGCTTGAACTCACAACCCTGAGATCAAGAGTCACAGGCTCTACTGGCTGAGCCTGCCAGGCACCCCTGACTTGAGATTTTGCTCAGGAAAACAAATCTGTACCTTCTCTCTGTGTCCTGTGATCTCAGAGAGGTACTACTTTGGGAGAATGTGTGCGGGGGACACCCCTATCGCTTAAGGAGCCTGGGACTCCCCGCAAACACCTCCCCCGTTCCTTCCACCTGAGCCACACTGGCCTCCTTCCTGCTTCTGAAATAAATCGATCCCTTTCCACACTCAGGGCTGTGTGGCTTCAGTCCCTCTCCATCATTTCGTCCTGGTTTATTTTCTTCATAATATTTACTGGAATCCAAAGTGAGCTTATTCATTTCCTTATTATCTGACTCTCGCTGGACTCTAAGCTCCCCGAAGGCAGAGACTTTATCTCCCATGCCCATGGCTATGTGGCCAGGGCCTACCTGATTGCGTGGTTCACATGAGGTGCTCCATACATATATATGGAATAAATAAATAAGTTAATAGAAGGTCATGGGGGGGGGGGAATCCTGTGGGGCTTAGAGGCCCCTGTCAGGATGGTGGCTTTTGCTCTTTGATTGGAAGCCAGTGGAACCTTTCAGGTTGTGAAGGGACATGATCTAACTTTAGTTTTTGACAAGATGACTCTGGTTGTTGTTTTGAGAATAGACTGAGCGGGGAGCATGAACTGAGGTGGGGAAACCAGTCAGGACATTACCGCAGTAAGCCAGATGCAAGACGGTGGTGAGGAGACGTGGTGAGGAATGGGAATTGCGGATGACAGTGACCAAGACTGAGCCAACTTTGTCTCCAAATCACTAGAATGACCCTTCCGTTCAAGCCACTGACATTCTTGCTCTCTCATCTCCTGCTCTTCTCCAGGGAGTCCACCATATTCTCTACTCCTCTCATGAGTGGTCAGGGCCCATATCAGATTCTGGGTGACAATCCTGCATACTTTCTTTGGGGTTGAGGTCCCATCCAAGAGGACAGTACTGATCCATGGTGAGTAGCAAATACACAATTCCCTTTCAGGAGCCTGGGAGGCTGGGAAGGGGTGGATCATGGTAGAGAGAGAGGCCAGAACCTCATGGTGGTGCTGACAGAGGTCAGCAACTTTAGACAACATATCTGGATTCTAAAGAGATCTTGGAAGGCTGAGGCTGTATAAACTGTTTTTGTTTTTGTTTTTGTTTTTGTTTTACAAGAAGAAACTTAACAGGAACAATTGGAGATTCCTACTTATGGGTTCTCATATCCCCAACTGTATAAGTATAGGAAGGAAAAGATACAGTCCCATAGTAGATAATAGCCATGACATCATCATCAGTAAGAACAGTGATTACCCAGGCACTGCGGGGAGGGGAAAAGTGTGGAGTTGTTCAATGGGTATAAAGTCTCAGGTGTTCAAAATGAGTAAGTCTCCAAGATCTGTTATACAACATTGTGCATACAGTTAACAAAACAGCATTGTGCACTTAAAAACTTGCTTAGAGGGTAGATCTCATGTGAAGTGTTCTTGCCACGTAAAAAAGGGCCATTTTTAAATTTTTATTTTAATTTTTTATTTTTTAAATATTTTATTTATTTATTTGACAGAGAGAGCGACAGCTAGAGAGGGAACACGAGCAGGGGGAGCGGGAGAGGGAGAAGCAGGCTCCCGGGCGAGCAGGGAGCCCAATGTGGGGCTCGATCCCAGGACCCTGGGATCATGACCCCAGCCAAAGGCAGACGCTTAACAACTGAGCCACCCAGGTGCCCCCAAAAGGGCCATTTAAAAAAAAAAGATTTTATTTTTAAGTAATCTCTACACCCAACATGAGACTTGAACTCACAACCCCAAGATCAAGAGTTGCACGCTCCTCCAACTGAGCCAGCCAGATGGACCCCAAAAGGGTTATTTTTTTTAAAAGATTTTATTTATTTACTTGAGAGAGCGCGCATGCCCGAACACATGGGGGAGGGGCAGAGGGAAAGAGAGAGGGAGAAGCAGACTCCCTCTTGAGCAGGGAGCCCGACGTGGGACTCGATCCCAGTACCCCAGGATCATGACCTGAGCAGAAGGCAGACACTTAACCGACTGAGCTACTGGGGGGCCATTTTTGAGAAATTGGGGGAAATGGAATATGTGCATAAGATTGCATTAAGAAATGACTATAATTTTGAGAGTATAAAATGGCACCATGGAAAAGGACTTTTATCTGTGAGGTCAAAATAGATGAAGAAAATATGGCTAAATGTTAACAACTGTTAAAGTCTGGTGGCGGGTATGTGGAAGTTCAATATACTGTGCTCTCCACTTTTCTGTATGTTTTACATTTACTCTAATAAAAGTCTAAAAATTAAAAGGAATGAGAACAATGATTTCTTTTTGCTGAGCATCTGCCATGGACTAGGTGCTTTACGTACACTTTTTGTTTGTTTTTCTTTTTTGTAATGATTGTTTTAACTTTTATTTTGAAATAATTGTAGGTTTACAGGAAGTTGCATAAACAGTACAGAGAGAGTACTGAAAGTCAAATCTTACATAACTATATGCAATATCAGAGCCAAGAAATTGACACTGGAGCAATGGTGTGTATTGTTCTATGACATCTTATCACATGTTTAGATTCCTATAAACCCCTCCACAATCAGGATGCATAACCATCCCATCACCACAAAGATCTCCCTGTTCTACCCCTTTATAGGCACACCTACCCCCCCAACTTTAATGCTAGGCAACCATTAATCTCTTTGTCTCTATAATTTTGTCTATTTTTAAAAAAAGATTTTATTTATTTGAGAGAGAAAGAATGAGACAGAGAGATCATGAGGGGGAGAGGGTCAGAGGGAGAAGCAGACTCTCTGCCGAGCGGGGAGTCCGATGCGGGACTCGATCCCAGGACTCCAGGATCATGACCTGAGCTGAAGACAGTCGCCCAAAAAACTGAGCCACCCAGGCGCCCTTATAATTTTGTCATCTTGAGAATATTATTTAAATGGAATCGTACAGTGTGTCACCTTTTGTAACACCTAATAAAAATCCCATCAAGGAAGCCGATTACTCTTGTAAGAACCCATCTCCTTTTCCCATGCAATTTCTTAATATCCCATAATGTGTTGACTATATTATCAAAAGCAAAACCCAGGGGCGCCTGGCTGGCTCAATCAGTTAAGCGTCTGCCTTTGGCTAAGGTCATGATCCCAAGGTCCTGGGATCGAGCCCCGCATTGGGCTCCCTGCTCAGAGGGGAGCCTGCTTCTCCCTCTGCTTGCTGCTCCCCCTGCTTGTACTCTCTCTCTCTCGCTCTCTCTTTCTTTGTCAAATAAATGAAATCTTAAAAAAAAAAACCAAGCTAACACCAGTACAACATGTCTCCACTATGTACAATAATATTATATGTCCAATATTATGTAATATTATATGTCCAATATTGTCCAATATATACAATAATATTCACAGCAGCCTTGTCATAATAGCTTCAAACTGGAAACAACCCAAAAGTCTATCAACTGGTGAAATGATAAATAATTGTGGATTATTCATACACTCAAACACTAGACAGCAATAAAAAAGAATGAATGACAGATACACACAACGTGGATGAAATCTTACGGACATTACAATGAGCTAAAGAAGTCAGGCACAAACCAGCAAATAATGTATAACTCCATTTACATGAAGTTCAAGAGTAGTAGGCAAAACTAACTGATGGCAATAGAAGTCAGAGTAATGGTTACTTTGGGAGTGGGGGTATTGACTGGGAGGGAACCCAAGATAACTTTTGAAGGTGCTGGAAATACATTGTATTTTGATCTAAGTGGTGGTTATAAGAATGAATATATATTTTAAAGTTAAGCTTAAGTTTAAAAAAATTAAGCTTAAGTTTCATGTACTTTAGTCAGAATGTTATACCTTAATTTTATTGAGAAAAAGTTTTAAAGTAACCTCTACACCTAAGGTGGGGCTCAAATTCAGGAGGAGGTGTGGGGGGGTGCAAGATCAAGAGTTGTATGCTCTACTGACTGAGCCAGCCAGGGGCCCCTGTTATACTTGAATTTTTTTTTTTAACAGATTTTATTTATTTGGGGGGGGGGGGAGAGAGCAAGCTCAATTGCACACTCAGGGAGGGGCAGAGGGGAGGGAGAGGGAAAGAATCTCAAGGGGATTCTGCACTGAGCCAGGAGCCAAGGCGGGGCTCTATCTCACCAAGCTGAGATCACGACCTGACCGGAAACCAATAGTCCCACGCCTAACTGACTGAGCCATCCAGGCACCTCTACCTTAATTTTAAAGTATCGGGGCACAGGGCTTGAGAAAGATGAGTTCTTAGAGCAGAAATGAGGTCCGGTATTTAAAACCTTGACTTTCTTGGGCAATTAGGGAAGCATATAGTGACCAACCAGCCCACCTTCGCCAGTGGGCAGTGTACGCTTGCACCATTAATTTGCATCTTCTAAACCTCGTTTACTGGGAAATGTCTTGAAAAATCAAAGGATTGGGGTGGGTTTTTGTGGTGTAGGGGTGCAGATTGAGGAAGACATGAAGTCTGGAAAGATGAAGAGTTCACAAGTACTTTCCCCCTCCCTCGCTCAAATACACTAGGTTAGCTCTCGTGGCAGCCAAAATCGCTCCTATTCATCTCGTTATGGTCCAGGGCGTCCAAGAGAAGAAGTTGCATAAAACAGACTGTATACATGTCTCGTTTTTCTGCGAGCAGGAACCGTGCCTCGCTTCTCCGCAACCCCAGGGAAAACTTAGGACCTATATGCAGCTGTATTCCCACAGTCCCTTGGAGAACTGGTTCTCAAACTTGGCTGCACAAAGAAATCACCTAAGGCACTGAAACATTTACTGATGCCTAGGTGCTACTCCCAGAGGTTCTGATTTAATCGGTGTGAAGTGAGGTATGGGCATCGGGATATTTTAAAGCGTCCCAGGTGACCTTAATTTGCAGCACAAACAAGGAGTCCTTCCTTCTCCCCCTTTAGGGGAGTCCTTCCTTCTCCGTGCCTGGGTTTGTGCTGGGGCGTCAACTCTCCGGGGGTGGGGGCGAGGTTCACCGAGCTCGGCCCTCTGGCCCCTTCCTACAAAACAGTTAAACTCCGACCTCTCCGCGATAACCCAAAGGACCTGACAGCCAGGCTGCAGGCGCTCTGCACTCCGCCCAAGCCTCTATGGTATTTTGGCGTCCTCTCTAGCATTTGCAAGGCGCCTTCGCCTTCAGCCACGGCCGGCGGCTCCCTCTCTATGGTAGCGGATTTCCCAGCGCCGCCTCGTTGGTACTTCATTCCGGAAGCGAGTCCGATCAAAGAAGAGGCGGGACTTCACTCCCGGAAGTGACCACGTGCTTCCGCCTTACCCTACCTGGTCGCACGGTGAGTTTCTAGTGTTTGCCCGAAGTTGGGGACACCGCGGGCATTGTGACTGGCCCCGGGCCGTGGTAAGTGACCTCTCGCCTCATGGTGACCCTGATGATGGCGCCGCCATTTCAGAGGTGCAGCCCCTGAACCGGGACCTGTGCACCTTAGGTACGCGTGTTTTCGAATTCCCAGGGCCCTGGAGGTTCAGGCCCGCGGTTTAGTGTTCCTTTCCGGTCTCTGGATCTTCTCCTGGGTAGAGGTGACCACGAGGGACTGGGGCGCCCGGGCTCGATTTCCAGCCGTTCCATTGACATGCTATGTGACCTTGGGCTAGGCAGTGTTCCCTTTCTGGGCCTCAGTTTCCACATCTGTGAGATGGGGTGGTTGCGCTCACTGAGGTCAGTGACCCCTGCCAGCCCCATGTCCTGTGAATCCTCCGCATCCTCTACCCTCCTCGGGATGGGAAATGGAACGGGAGGGGTGGAAGCTGACGGTGCTGTCTGCTCCCAGGACTAGGAAGCCAGAAGGAGATCTCTTCCACGGTGCAGGGCTGAGATGGATCCGCTCAGGGCCCAGCAGTTGGCTGCGGAGCTGGAGGTAGAGATGATGGCTGATATGTACAACAGGTAAGGGCGGACAGTGCGCTCCCTTGTCTTTGAGAATGATCCTAGGTCACCTTTTCTCAGGGTGCCTTTTGGAGGGTATCCGCCCCCACCTACACTCCTCATGGTTGAGGGCTAATGCAGAGGCAGTATGGGGTTCACTAGAACGAGTTGGACATCTAGATTGGGATGCAGTTGGCGAGCCAGTAGCTGAGCAGGGAGAGAAGCACCAGTCCAAGCTCTGGTCGGGTTCCAGGAACAGTTGAGCGCTTGCCTTTGTGACAAACAGCACATGGCCGACTTAGTGGTTAACATTTCTTCCTTCCTTCCTTCCTTCCTTCCTTCCTTCCTTCCTCCCTCCCTCCCTCCCTCCCTCCCTCCCTCCCTCCCTTTTTTAAAAAGATTTTATTTATTCATTTGACAGAGAGACACAGCGAGAGAGGGAACACAAGCAGGGGGAGCGGGAGAGGGAGAAGCAGGCTTCCCGCCAAGTAGGAGCATGATGTGGGGCTCAATCCCAGGACCCCGGGATCACGACCTGAGCCAAAGGCAGACGCTTAATGACTGAGCCACCCAGGCGCCCCTGTGGTTAACATTTCTTAAACTCTTACTCCATCTCAGGCACATGCTGAGCAGTTTACATGCCTTAATCCTTTTTAAGTTTCAAAATGATCCACTGGGTCAATTTTAGTTGTCCCATTCTCAGGTGAAGACATTGAGGCTTCTAGAGGTTAAATAACTTTCTCAGGGATCACAGCTGGTCAGTAACAATGTCAGGACCAGTACCTCAGTCCAACTCCAAACTAGTGCCCACAACCATTTGGCAGATTTGGGAACAAATTGTAACTGCACCAATCACCACTAGTTTGACCTGGGGCAAGATACTTGGACTATTTGATTGGTGGTTTTCCCATCTATAAAATGGAGGTAGGGGCGCCTGGTTGGCTCAGTCTGTTGAGCATCTGACTGTTGATTTCAGTGCATGTTGTGATCTGAGGGTCACAGGATCAAGCCCCACATTGGGTTTTGTGCTCAGCAGGGAGCTTTCTTGAGATTCTCCCTCTGCTTCTTCCCTGTTCGCCCGCACACTCATGCCCGTGCACATGCTATCTCTCTCTCTCTCTCTCTCTCAAATAAATAAATAATAAATCTTTTTAAAAATAAATAAAATGGAGATAATAACGGTACCTACCTTGTGGAGATACTATAGATGTTAAATGTAGAAATGTATGACAGGCTCTTAGTATCAAGCCCAGTATGCAGTAAGTAGTCCACACGTGTTTGCTGTTTTTATTGGCTTAAGCCCCCTGGTATTTTCTCTTGATGGTTTATCTTAGAGGCTATATATTAGAATACTTCCAAATATTTTTTTTTCTTCCAAATATTTTTAAATAATTTTAAAATGCAGGCTGCGAGATCAGACTCTGTGGGTTTATATCCCAGCTTACATGATCCTGAGGCTCTCCATGCCTTAATTTCTTTATCTGTAAAATGGGGATAATACTGTGCCTACCTCATAGTAACCCTATGAGGGAGTCCTTGTTAAGGACTGCATGACAAGCCGTGTCAAGCACTTAGCATGATGCCTGGAACATAGCCAGTACTCAACTAATGGTTCCTATTTAAATAAACACGGGCTCAGATCAGGTGAGCACTCTCAAGGACCTCCTAAGATGGTTGAAATGCAAACTGAGGGTTTACACTGCCTTCCTGGGAGATGAAATCAGCATTGCAGGGCAGGAATGATGGAGAGTTCCTTGTATGCCTCAGGATGCTGCTGACCTGACCTTACCCTTCCTTCCCCCACTCCCACTCCCAGAATGACCAGTGCCTGCCACCGGAAGTGCGTGCCTCCCCACTACAAGGAAGCAGAACTGTCCAAGGGCGAGTCTGTGTGCCTGGACCGCTGTGTCTCCAAGTACCTCGACATCCATGAGCGGATGGGCAAGAAGTTGACAGAGTTGTCTATGCAGGATGAAGAGCTGATGAAGAGGGTGCAGCAGAGCTCTGGGCCCGTGTGAGGCCCCAGACAGTATACACCCCAAGGTGTGCCCTGCCCCTTCCCACTTGTCTAATAAAAGTGCCCCCATTGGGTGTCATCTGTGAAGACTGCTGGGCCTCGGCTCCCTCGGGAGAGCCTCCAGGAGCCCAGAATATGGTAGAGCTACTTTCCTGGTTGAAGAAGGGGTATTTGTCCCACTGCGATGTGCCTGTGTATGTACATGTATGTGTGTGTGTATATATATATATATTAAAACAGGTTTCTTGATGCCTACTACATGTAAAGCAGTGCCTGGCACAGCGTCTACCAGCAGAGGGAGTCTCGTGGTGTTGAAAAGCACAGACTGGTGCGATGTTCTGGCTTGTATCCCAGGTTAGCCTCTTGCTGTATGACCCTGAACATGTCACTTCACTGTGCTTTAGCTTCCTCATCTGTAAAATGGGGATAATCATAGGGCCGTGGCGAGGTTTAAATGGTTTAATATGTGTCCAGCATTTAGAGTAATGACTGGGACATAGGAAGTGCTCAATAGATACGAGCTGTATACATAACAACCTAAAATTTAAGTGGAGTCAGGTGGGCATTTTTCCAGATAAAAAAATATTTAGAGGAACGAGTGAACAGGAGATGGGATTTGAGAAGGAAGGAGCCAACCCCTGGGTTCTAAGTGGCAATATCCAAACATGTGAGGGGACCAGGTTCATGTGTGATGTGAGTGATCCAGGGAGGGGACTGAGTGAAAACCACTGTCATTCACGGTTTGCCTGAATCAGGGACTGCGCTCCTCACCCTTCATACAACATCCGGTCTAGCTCTTTCCACCATCTTTCTGTGCCGCCATAACGGTGCACACGAATGTCCTGGCAGATGTTCGCAAGAGCATTGACAATGCGGAAAAGAGAGGCAAGCGCTAGTTTCTTAATTAGGCCGTGCTCCAGAGTCATCGTCTGGTTTCTGTGGTGGTGAAGCATGGTTACCTTGGTGAGTCTGAAATCATCGATGATCACAGAGCCGGGAAACTTGTGGTCATCCTCACGGGCAGGTTAAACAAGTGTGGAGTGATCAGCCCCAGATTCGATGTACAGCTCAAAGATCTAGAAAAATGGTGGGATAACCTGCTCCCATCCTGCCAGTTTGGTTTCATTGTACTGACAGCCTCAGCTGGCGTCATGGCCCGTGAAGAAACAAGACGAAAACACACAGGAGCGAAAATCCTGAGATTCTTTTTCTAGGGATGTAATGCATGCAGATAAAACACCTCAATGGGGGAAAATACCTGATCTAATCCACTCAGGTGGGCTCAGGGGCCCTATTAGGCAGTGGAGGCCCGGAGCGCTGGTTGCTTGTCGGAGGTCTCACGAGGGGAGTGGGGGCTGACTGCCACTCTTGCTGTCTCCATGAGGAGACCGCTGCCTCGAATTCCTGAGTGTCCTAGAGAGCTGTGCGGCTTCCAGAATGTGTGGCTCGCTCGCTCCAGGTGGGATTTTGGTTGACGTCAATGGCCCTGTGGCAGTGCCTCTGTAGTAGAGAAAGGTGGGTGTTGGGCATGGAACCTCGCCAGGTCACTGGGCATGGAGTAAAGGAAGCACTAGAGGCAGTGAGTTTGGGGCTTAAAAGGGCAGGCCCAGGGGCTCCGGGGTGGCTCAGTTGGTTGAGCATCCGACTCTCGATTTTGGTTCAGGCATGATCTCAGGCTTATGAGGTCAAGCCCTGCCTTGGGCACTGCAGGGTGGGTGTGGAGTCTGCTTAAGATTCTCCTTCTCCGGGCGTCTGGGTGGCTCAGTTGATTAAGCGACTGCCTTCGGCTCAGGTCATGATCCCAGGGTCCTGGGATCAAGCCCCGCATCGGGCTCCCTGCTCCGCGGGAAGCCTGCTTCTCCCTCTCCCACTCCCCCTGCTTGTGTTCCCTCTCGCTGTGTCTCTCTCTGTCAAATAAATAAAATCTTTAAAAAAAAAAAAAAAATCTCCTTCTCCCTCTGTCCCTCCCTCTACCTCTCTCTCTGTTAAAAAAAAAAAAAAAAAAAAGTGCAGGCCCAAGCCAGACCACCTGGGGTGGAATTTTCTAGCTGTGTGATCCTGGGTGAGGCATTTACCTGCCGACTGCCTCAGTGACCCCATCCATAACATGGTAGTAGTGGTGCCTGCCTCCTTGATTGAGTGGTGTGAAAATGAAACGTGTTAATAACTGCAACACTTAGGAAAATGCCTATCTCTGTCAGGTTAAGTGCTCGATAATGTTAGCTTGTTTGTTTGTTATTGCTGAGTTTGGTATGAGAAGACACTGGATAGACCCTGGGAAACTCTCTTTTTTTAAAAGATTTTATTTATTTGACACAGAGACACAGAGAGGGAACATAAGCAGGGGGAGTGGGAGGGGGAGAAGCAGGCCTCCTGCGGAGCAGGGAGCCCGATGCGGGGCTCGATCCCAGGACCCTGGGATCACGACCTGAGCGGAAGGCAGATGCCCGACGACTGAGCCACCCAGGCGCCCAGACCCTGGGAAACCCTCAAAGCCGAGCGCCCTGACCTTAGCGGCAGGCAGAAAGTGAAGGCTCCTGTCTAGGTCCTGAAGTGCAAGCTTGGGTCAACAGGTGGCGCTGTCTGCTCACAGGCTCGGCAGGGCTGCGGGCAATTCCACAAAGGCCTATTATTTGCCCCTTGGGTGCCGGCGGCCTCTTGGTAGGGAGAGGGCAGTGGTGAGAAAGATACTGTGCCTGCCCTCGCGTTTAGCAAGGAACATCAAAAATTCTGATAGTGCCTAGCGGGAACATTTGGAAGGGGTAGTGGGAGCGGAGAGAAGAGGTTCCAGCTGGAGGAAATAGTACTTGCAAAGGCTTTGAAGTGGCAGAAAGTGTGGCGCGTTCAAGAAACAGCTTCAGTGTGCCTGGAGTGCCGAGTGTGAAAGGAGGTGGTGGTGAGAGATGAGACTTGGGGGCTGGGCAGGCAGAGCTCCAAAAGAGCCTTGAGAAGCTGTGTTAAAGGAGTTTGGGATTTTCTCCTGCCCAGGGCAGCCGCAAACTGTTGGAGGCTGTAAACCCTGTCAAAGGCAGATGCTTTAACCGACTGGTACCCCGACTAGATTATCAGTTTTAAAATCAGGAAATGTTGGGGTGCCTTCGGCTCGGGTCATGATCCCAGGATCCTGGGATCGAGCCTCACATCGGGCTCCCTTCTCAGCGGGAAGCCTGTTTCTCCCTCTCCCTCATTTGTGTTCCCTCTCTCGCTGTGTCTCTCTCTGTCAAATAAATAAAATCTTTAAAAAAAATAAAAAATAAAAATAAAATCAGGAAATGGCTCTCAAAAATCTGGATTTGACTTCTTTTGAAAGTTTAGAATATCTAACCAGTCAGCCTCCATTCCTGCTTGGCAGCAGCCAAGGATAAGCAGCAAAACTCCCACTGCTCATTTCTTCCCTCATCCTCTGCTTGACCTGTAGGCATTTGGTCTGTGCCTGCTCCGGGCTCTCAGGTGAGCCGGACGCTAGGTGAGAACACACGTGGATGTCTGGGAATAGGCAGGCTCTAGATGGGGCGCAGGGGTCCTGCCCGAAGCCAGTCGTTCCTGGTACCATCTGCTTCCCCTGAGTGCACTAGACCTACAGACTTGCTTCTGACACCTCAGCAGAGGCGACAGGATGTTGTTTCCAGGGTTAAGGTACAAGAGATTGGAATGGTCTTGTTCGTTCTCTCTCTCCTCTTGCTTCCCACGACGAAGCAAGCTTACATCTTGTGAGCTGCCCTGTGAAGAGGCCCGCGTGGAAGGAACTGAGGGCAGCCTCCGGCCAGCGAGGAACTCAGTCCTGCTGACAACCCCACGAGTGAGCTCAGAAGCACATGCTTCTCCAGACGACTGCAGCCCCGGCTGACATTTCACAGCTCTGCGAGCCACCACTGAGGCGGAGGACCCCTCTAAGCTGCATCCTGACTCCTGACCTAGAGAAACCAAGATAGCGAATCGCTAACCAACACATGTACAGTTTCACAACTATTACAGTTGAGACTATGATCTTTCTGCGCCTAGAACCAGCACGGGCCAGGCACCGTTCTGGGCATCTGGGGCACATCACTGAACAAAACAGAGAAAGATCCCTGCCCTCTTGGAACCTGTATGCTAGTGGGGACGGTTTTGCATAGTAGAAGTCTGGGCTGCCAGTGCTGTTTTGAAGGAGAGACCATCTGCAGTTCCTGGGGGAAGGTTCTTAACTCCTTTCAGGCCTCGGGCCCCCGTGAAACTCCAACAAAAGCCATGGATGGTTCTTTAGAAAAATGTACATGCACATAGGATTTTGCATACAATTTTAGGGATCATCATAAAAATATTTGTGGGCTGACCTGAAGGGGGTGTTGTGATGAGCATTGTTTTAAGTTCTGGGGCAAAGACAAACGATAGAAAAATTGAATGGGGAGACATACTAAAACCAGTTGCTTTTGTAGTTGTGTTAAGTGCTACAGGAGATGTTTGGGAGCTCTGGGGCTAAATAGAGGAATGTGCCTCCAAGTCTGGGTGCTCAGAGAAGGACGTACCCCAGAACGTGGTAAGTGAGATTTGAAGGATGAGTGGAGTTTGGCCGGCAGGGCCAGGTAAGTGGTGGGTTCCATGTTAAGTGGTGGGAGGGTAGTGGTGAGGGAGGGGGGCATGGGTCCTTGTCCTCCCACGCACGCAGTCCATTGGATGAAACACACATTTTTTTTTTTAAGATTTTATTTATTCATTTGAGAGAGTGAGTGAGCAAGCACAAGTGGGGTGGGGAGGGGAGCAGAGGGAGAAGCAGACTTCCTGCGAGCAGGAGCCCAATGTGGGGCTCCATCCCGGGACCCCAGGATCATGTCCTGATCTGAAGGCAGATCAGATCAGATCACCGAGGCGCCCCCGAAACAGACACATCTTGTTGAATTTCATCAGAAGGAAACTCAGATATATATAGATCACATAGCAAGGGGATTTATTGCTGGAATCGGGCAAGGAGCCTTCACCCAGGAAGTGACCATTAAGCCATAATCTGAAGGATTAGTTAGATAGGCTGGGGCAGGGGAATGTTCCAGGCCCAGGAGAAACTTGAGATGGGAGAACGTGGGGTGTTAACGGGCCTGAAGAGGTCACCATGGTGAAAGCATAGAGAAGAGAGAGGCCAGAAGGGAGGCTGGGGTTGCAGGTGGGGCCCAGACGGACTTGGGAGCATTGCTGGGAGTTTGTATATTTGCCCAAGTGTCATGGGAAGCTTGTAAGGAGAGCGGTCTGATCAAATCCGTGTTTCCAGAAGATCATTCTGACTG